TAATGTGTGCGGATTTATGTTGACATGTTAAATAATTAAGTGGGACCAGTTCCACGTCAGGCCCACATGACCATTTTTTGTCTCGGTTTGGATTACACGGCACGAGTCTCTCCACTGGTTATTGGGGTCCACTTGTACAGCTGGAATTACAAAACAAAAATCAAAAAGGTCTTCTTCTTCTTAATTTGTGTAGTTGTGTTCCATGAAAAATAAGATTACTCGATCGCTACATATTGTAAGGTGTAGACTCTAGACAAATGTATATATTCCTTTCTCATAATTTACTCTGATTTTTTTTTTTACATCTTTTATTACTTAGTGGTTTAAAATCTGTTTTTTTTTTCTCTCCGATCGATAATTTAATACGATAAAATTAGTGTATTAAGCTATTTTTCTTTTGAAAAAAAAATTTCTTGTAAACAAAGAGATAAATATAGTGGCGAAAATACCTTATTTATTACTGCTAAATTTCTAATATTAGAGTTTTTTCAATTGATAACTATTAATATGGTACATAAACTTTGTTTTTTGATTTGAATTTTTGAATCGCTTTAAATTTATATAGCTATTGATAAAAAAAAAAACTATTAAAATAATATATTGGTATGTGTAGTTTTGTTCTTAGTGTGAATGTGGTATCTCTAAATGATACCATTGTTATTTTTTTGCTGGAACTAAAACCAACATCAATGTATGTAAGATATCTAATTGTTTTTTTTTTGTTTTTAATCGTATGGAGTTTATATTGAAGTTGGCCAATCAAAAACCAAGAAACATAACAAAGTCGGATTCTCTTATATGAAACACAAATTAATGATTGAAAATGGGAAGTCGGATTCAATCGCTTTTTTCAAATCCATTCTGATATTAACATGTCAAACTCTTGGAAAGAAAACAAAACAAGTTGATAATTAAAACAATTTGAATACTATTACCTCTTGACTTTTTCAAAATTACTTGGTCGCGCAGCCACACGTGCAAGCAACCATGTTTCCAACTTGTTTCGTTTCGTTTTACACTTTAATTTCTTCATTACA